ATTATCACTTTGCTTATGCTTTAAAATACAGGATTTATACACTTCTGCACTACTGACGTTTGGGGCTGAACAGTTCCTCATTGTGTGGGAGCTGTCCTGTGCTTTGTAAGATGTGCAGCATCATCTCTGCCCTGTGCACTGCACTAGATGCCAGTAGTAGCACTCCCATCCCAAGTCATGGCAGCCAGAAATCCCTGCACATGTTGCCAGATGCTCCCCAAGGGGGTAAAAAGAAATCATCCTTAGTTGGGAACCACTGGTCTGATTTATCCTTAGGATAAATTTCTAGAAGTGGAATTGCTGGATCTAAGGTTATGTACATTTAAAATTTTGATGGCAGTCGCTAAATTGTTCTTTGTAGAGGTTAAACCCATTTTACACTCCAACCAGCAGTATTTGAGGACATTTTTGCATTCTCACCAGTACAGTGGTTTATCAGAATTTCTTTACCATCTCACTGTACTTTCAGTTTGAATTTCTCTGTTTTACGGCTAACCTTTTTATTGAACACTTACTTACTGCTTGCTAGGCAAGTTGTGTTGTTTGGCCTGTGTATTTTGTGTCATACATTATAATGCCTTCCTCTCTAAGCCTTCTTGAAGTTTGGTACCTAGCGCTGACGACTAAGTTTCTTCTGATTCTAATGAAATGATAATATGTACCATTCATTGAGATCTAACATGTGACTGGCATTGTGCTTGGTGTGCTCTAAAAATATGTGCATTCTTGTGTGATCTAAGCATGTATTAATAAAGTGGCCTTTCTTTTACCTTTTGGGTTGGCACAGGGCCTCTGTCTGCACATATTCTAGCAGTTATAGTCCCTGAGTTGGGATATGTCACAGAGAGCCGACTGAAAAGTATTTGATTCTGCAGTTAGGAGTGATAATAGTCCCAGTCCAATGATTGGGACGGAATTGGTGTAGATGCCTTGATTTAAATTAAGTTCTGTTCTGTTTTGTTCTCTTTTTTTTTTTTTCTTTTCTTTTCCTTTTCCTTTTCCCTTTCCTTTTCTTTCTTCTCTCTTTTCTCTTCTTTTCCTTTGTTTTCTTTTCTTTTCCAGGAGTCTATTTTCCTTGTCTACAGTCATCATAGTTTGAAATTACGACTTTTTGTGTGCTTGTTTCCGGATGGGCATATCTTTTCACCACTGAAAAACAGCTAACATATGGTGTACTGTCTGGCGTACACTGTGTGCCCAGTGAGTATTTGTTGAATGAATGAACTAGTCACTCCAAGAACTGAGGCCGTTACGGGGCCTAAAGGCCCGGATTTGCCATTCCATGGGTTGAAGAGTTAGGTTAGCTTAGTGATGGGCTCTGTTGCTTTCCTGGAATGGAGGCAGCTTCCTTCCTAAAAGGCTCAGAACTAGCTGATTCTCTGGAATGTTTGGCCTGTTGGGGAACGTTGGCCCTGATGATTCTGGGTGAGTTTGGTTGGAACCCAGCTGTGGATGTTGAGAGAATAAGTGAATATTCCTGTGAATGAATGGCTTCCCCAGCTCACATTCTTAAGAGGTCATGCTTATATTTACTTGAGGCAAAGTCATAGCCTCTCGTAAATGAACGGTTATCTAGAAATTGTGGTTGGATTTAGTTCTGATGTGAACAGTTTTGATATTTCCACACATTAAAGTCTGTATTAAGGGGACATTCAGCCACTAGTTCCCTCTGGCTTTAATGAGTTTTCAGTTTCCAAACACTACCGATTCGATAAACTCAGCTGGCTTGCTCTTTCCTCTACTTCTAAGAATTTGTGTGAGTATTGTTTAGTGTTGGCCTAATAACTTGTTCGGCCAGTTTGGTGTTCTCTGTCCTGGAGGCTGGCATTCAGCAAAAGGAACTCGGGGTAGGGTGTGGCGGGGTGGGATGGAGTGGGATGGGATGGGACTGGGAGAGCCAGCAGGGGGCCTCTGAGCGGAGGGAAGACCAGCAAGGTCATGAGTGCAAACTCTTCCTATAAGGGGCAGATAGTGAGTATTTTAGGGTCTGTAGGCCATGGTCTTTGTCAAATCTTCTTTGTTTTTTGCATCTGTTTAAAAGAGTCTAAGAATGTAAAAACTCATGAGCCTTTGTGAAAAAGACTGTAGCCAGATGTGGGCTATAATTGGCCAACCCCTGAACTAGGTGAAGAAATTGGTTTATTGCTACACGTGTTTACTGGTTTGAGGACATGAACCCAGAATAACCTTGGGAATTTTCAGTTGTGATCCTTAGAGGAGTGATCTACACTCTGGCATGGGGGTCAAAGTGACCCTGGTGTTAGTCACCTTGGGTCTGTGGAACTCAGGGTAACCCTGACCAGTAGGACAGAGACCCTTGCTGCCTCTTTCCCACGGCAGTCCTGTCCACGGGGAGTGGGGAGACAGCAATGAAGGAGGAAAGGAGATGTTGTCCTGGATAGGCCTGAGGACTTTGGTAGCTCAGGTGCCTGAACTGCCTCTAGAACACGGTTAGAAAACTGGCGTGTATGAGTGTTTATGAAAATACAAGAGCATGTCTGTATCTTGGATTCTGAGAACACGACCAAATTCTAATACTGGAGTCCAGATCCTGATGGTTTTGTCTAATCACAAGAAGTTCTGTAGAGCAGTCTGGCTTGAAGGAAGTACTACTTCTTTTTTTCTTTTTCAGAGTCCTGTTCTGTCTCCCAGGCTGGAGTGCAGTGGCAGCGATTTCGGCTCACTGCAACCTCTGCCTCCCTGGTCCAAGCAATTCTCCTGCCTCCTGAGTAGTTGAGATTACAGGCATGCTCCATGATGCTCAGCTAATTTTTGTATTTTTAGTAGCAATGGGGTTTTGCCATGTTGGCCAGGCAGGTCTCGAACTCCCAACCTCAGGTGATCTGCCTGCCTCAGCCTCCCAAAGTGGGCTTACAGGCGTGAGCCACCGCACCTGGCCAGTGCTACTTCATTTTAAAGCACGTAGTTTGGGAGATAGGAAGGAGTAGGGGTTACAGAGCAGGGTCCTGGAGACGGATGCTCTTGTCCTGCTTCCAACTGTCTGCAACCCTGGGTGACTTGACTCCCTTAATCTTCCCAGCCTCAGCATCCTCACCTGTAGATCAGGATGACAATGACTCCACCGTACAGCCATCGTGAGGATTACGTGAGGGTGGTGTATGTGAAATGCTCCTTAGCGCAGTGCTTGGCATGTTGTAAGCACTCAGTCAATGTTGGCAATAGCAGTGACAATGTGAAAGTGGAAGGAAACGTAAGAAGTGGCCATCAGAACTAGGAACTAGGGTTCATGACTCAGCGCCACTGATTAGCATGTCCTTGTAGACTGGAGCATTTCGTCCTTAGACGTGTGAATGTCATGGAGTTGTACAGAGGAACTGGGTCTGCAACTACCTCTTTCAGCTTCCTGATGTGTAAAATGGAAATCATACAGATTGATGGACTGGGGATAAACAAACGAGGTAACAAGGGAACGGCCTTGAGTTCTCTAGAACTGTAACAGGATGAGCCGCAGATAAGAACCTCTCAGACACCGAGTTGTAGAAGGAAAGGGCTTTATTCACCTGGGAGCATCAGAGGACTCACGTCTCCAAAAACCGAGCTCCCCGAGTGAGCAATTCCTGTCCCTTTTGAGGGCTTACAACTCTAAGGGGGTCCACGTGAGAGCGTCTGATTGATTGAGCAAGCAGGGGGTACGTGACTGGGGGCTGCATGCACCAGTAATCAGAAGGGAACAGAACAGGACAGGGATTTTCACGATGCTTTTCCATACAATGTCTGGAATCTATAGATAACATAAGCAGTTAGGTCAGGGGCTGATGTTTAACTACCAGGCCCAGGGCATGGTGCTGGGCTGTCTGTCTGTGGATTCCATTTCTGCCTTTTAGATTTTATGCTTCTTCTTTCTTTGGAGGCAGAAATTGGGCATAAAAGACAAGATGAGGGGTGGTCTCCTCCCTTAAAACATTGAGCAGATTTTAAGGCGAAGTCAGTACTTGTTTAATTTGTTCAGTTTCTTGAACTTCTAAGTGTTGGAAACAGCCTGAGGGTGATTGGTGTGAAGCCAAAATGTTTGCCAGAGAGAGTTGATAGGATACTCCCAAGTTCAGGGATTTGGAATGTGTGATATAAAATTGGAATACTTTTGTGAGATATTTGAAATAGTGGAATTTCACAATGGGTGACCCGTGTTGGGAGAGGCTGGAGGAGGTTCATCTCTATATGGAAAATACGACAAGATCTTGCAAATTTAAAAATGTGTATTTTCTTTTCCTCTGCAATTCCATTTCTAGGAATTTACCCCGAAAATACATTTTCTAAGCACATTTTGTGTAGTAAGTCACGCATGTACCTGGTTATTCCTTACAACATTATTTATACAAAAAAGAAAAAAAAAAAAAGTAGAAATATCAGTGTTTAACCTTAAGAGACTGGTGAACTAAGTTGTGGCACATTCTTAAGTTGAAAACTGTGCACCTGCAGAGTGAGGGAACTCTATGTGTATTGATGGGACATTCTTCTGAGATGTGTTAAGCTAAAAACAAAAACAAAAAGCAAGGTGAAGAATAATATGTGGTTGTTGCCCAGCCTGGGGGCCAGTGGTGATGGAGAACCATTGTGATTTCCTTGTTTAAGCACAGAATGTCTTGGGAAGAACACAAAGGTGGTTACAACCTTTGGCGGCATCTGTGCAGAACCACTCTGAATACCTGGGGGACAGGTAGTAAGGAGATGTACTTTCCATAGCACATGCTTTTTATCTTTCAAATGTGTCTCGTATACACGTATTTTCTATTCAGAAAGTTTGACCACAGGTCGTATCATTTGTGTTGAAAACTGAAACCTCTATGTTTCCCTCCCACATTCATGTCTGCCACCTGTTGGCTCTGCCTGGTCTCTTTGACCTTGATGACTTGAAAAGTGGGCATTGACCACACTGACAGTTTTAGGCTTAGCCTGAAACAGTCCCCCTGGTCCCCAGCATATTGACATTTCTCCTCTTGATTTGTGTGACTGACAGTGTTTCTGTTTCCCTCCCCCAGCTTTGGCAGCATGTAAGCAGCTATTTGCCAAGAACCCAGGTCACCGCTAAGAAAGGGAGCCTTAGGGAGAAGAGTGTCCAGAGGAAACCAATGCCAGATGCGTCTGGAGTTACACTCAGCACTTGCATTATGAGACATTGTGTGCCAGCATCTCTTTCCTGCTGGCAAAGACTGTAGCTCTCCAGGTAGGAGGGTCCTGGAAGCTGTGAGCGCCAGGAGCCTCACCAGAGGAGGATGGGGCCAGATAATGAACTCTCTACAGTGAACATGGTTTTCAGCTTATGAAGGAATTTTAAGTAAAACAAGTATTTAATTTCCACATATTCAAGTTCAAAAGCCTTCTGTGTAAAGTGCCAGTGATTACCCCTCCACAGAAGTTATCAGGATTTTTCTGGCACCAAGTTGAACTCTTCTTGGTACTTCTGGCAGTGACAGGGACAGATTTATCTGTTGAATGCTCTTGGGCAGGAAAACCATGTAAAACCTCTGGAAGCAGCATCAGGACAGCAGAGCAGAGCCCCTGCCCTCACTGCTCACTTGCACAGAAATTCCATCTGGACTCAGATGCTTTTACTGAAGACCCATCGAGCTTCATTCATCTTTAGAGTCCATCCGTTCTGGGGAGACCTGGCGTTTGCAGCTGCCTCCTGTGGCCGTGTTTTCCTGTCCTTCTCTTCCCAGGCCTTCTATTCAAGCGGTTGAGGGGTGTGGACTTTGGAATGGGGTTTGCTGTTCTCCGGGAACTTGCTTCCTTTCCCTGGCTGGTGCTGTCGGGAAGGACCATCTGAAGGCTACAGTTTGCTCTTGGGGAGGCAGGTGCTGGCCTGGCCTGGATCTTCCACCATGTTCCTGTTGCTGCCTTTTGATAGCCTGATTGTCAACCTTCTGGGCATCTCCCTGACTGTCCTCTTCACCCTCCTCCTCGTTTTCATCATAGTGCCAGCCATTTTTGGAGTCTCCTTTGGTATCCGCAAACTCTACATGAAAACTTTGTTAAAAATCTTTGCGGTAAGTTGTGCTGTTACAAAAGGTTGCTTCACAGAGGAGGGTAGAAGTGCATTTAGCAAAAAGAGTTATTCTTACAGGCCTATTGTTATCTCTTTATTAGACAGGGAGAAAGTTGGGAGAATGGGAAGTGGCTTTTTGAGTAAGAAGAATAACTAAACGTGTACTTTTGAAAGGTACTTGTATGTTTGATTTATGCTGAGCTGAGGGACCTATGCCATGACTGCACATGTCGCCTGTTTATTTCAAAGAGAATGGGGCTTACAATTAAAGAAAAGCACTGCCAGTCTCTGTCTCTTCTTACATAACTGATGCCATAGCTCAAAGCTGCTGCAGGCATATTCCCTCACTTGAGAAGCATGGGAAAGCCTCTTCTCTTCCAGTCATTTATTCTAAGTAGGTCCTTGCATTTCAGACTAAAAGAATGGACAGAAAAGGGCATTGGAATTGTTTTATTTTCTTTAAAGGCGAAGGATACATTTCTAAACATATATCAGAACTTACCTGACCGTTGAATTATACCAAACTGGTCACATTGTAAGGAAATGGGTGAGAAGTGATGTTTTTTGGAAGTTGCTCTCTCCCATAAGACTTAAATACCTCTGCACAGATTTGGTGATTTAATTGTAATGTCTGTTTTTAGTAGTCACCAAATCTTTAGGGATTCATGTATAATTTGAGAAGTGCACTTACAGTAGTAAAAATAATACAACATTGTTTGTTCATATTGTATCTTTTTTTTTCTTTTTTTTTGAGACAGAGTCTCACTCTGTCACCCAGGCCAGAATGCAGTGGCGCAATCACGGCTCACTGCAACTTCTGCCTCCCAGGTTCAAACAATTCACCTGCCTCAGCCTCCTGAGTAGCTGGGACTACAGGCACATGCCACCACACCTGGCTAATTTTGTTGTGTTTTTAGTGGAGACAGGGTTTCACCACGTTGCCCATGCTGGTCTCGAACTCCTGACCCCTCAAGTGATCTGCCCATCTCAGCCTCCCAAAGTGCTGGGATTACAGGCCTGCACCACCGTTCCTGGCCCATATTGTATCTTCTGGTTTTGAGAGTAACTTTTATCATTTTTCTTTGATTCCTTATAATTCTGTGGTAGACGGGGCATTTTATTAACCTGCATTTTATTTATCTGCATTTTTATCAATGAAGAAAACGACTCAGATTAAGTGAGCGATATGAAATGTTACATTATAGTGGGAAATATTTTTATGTTTGTCATTGAATCTTGGGTTTTATCTTTTTTGGTACTCAGTATGTCTATAAGCATATGGCTTTTTTTTCATATTTAAGAAAACCAAGGGGAAATTGACAACATAAAGTTAATAATTTTAGAGTGAACAGTTCAGTAGCGTTTACTATATTCACATTGTTTTCTGTCCAGTTCACAACATTTTCATCAGTCCAAAGGAAACCCCACACTCGTTAAGCATTCACTCCCCATTCCTCCCTCCGCCAGCCCCTGGCAACCACAGTCTGCATTCTTCATAAAGATCACTAAAACTGGATACCTAATAGTTCATGCGGTACATATACCTGTGCTTTTGGCAGACCTAAGCAAGCCCTGGCTTACAGCTCCTTTCCCATGACTAGTTCTCTCAATATAAAGGAGCTAGGAGAAAATATCTGTGTACCTGCCAAGTGATGAGGACTATGAAGAGGATATGGGTGGATCAATGTCGTTTCTATTCCTTTTCCTGGAAGCCCTAACTCAGTGCAGGTCCTGTTCATGCTGAGTCACAGAAGATCTTTGTGTGCAGAGAGCAGCATGTGACTGGAAGGGTTTTAGTCTGTTTGCTTAATGTTTGTGCTTCACATGAACCCTCTCCACAGTGGCGATGGTATCACTAAGAGCAGAATTCCCAGGAGTAGACTCTCAGCTGAGTTGAAAATGACCTGGAAGAGGGGAGAAGATAAAGCCTGGATGTAAAGGAGAAAGATGAGAATAAATGATGTGAAAGGAGTTGATCAGGTCACGTTAGAGAAGATGAGACAGCTGTAATGTGATCTGTGTTAAACTCCAAGGTGGAACTTGTTGGTGGAGAGTCATAGAAACCAGTGGCAGTTGTGGAGAAGCTGAAGAGGCTGGTGGTGAAGAAGCTGAAGAAACTAGTGGTGAAGAAGCTGAAGAAACTAGTGGTGAAGAAGGAGAAGCTGAAGAGACTAGGACGATGGGCATTCGTGCTAGGTCAGGCAGTTGTTACCTTGAATCCCAGGGCTTCCATTACTGGCTCTGAAAAGGCATTGAACTTTCCAGTGTTTCTTTGTCCAGAGAGTGGGAGTATTAATACTCCTTTTACATGGTTGTAGTGAAAGAGGTCATCCTACCTACCCTGATGAGGAGTGTGATTTTAACATAGCCTTGAGTAGGTTAAAGGACAAACTGAAGGAGACAGGAATTGGGGGAAAGATGATAGGAAATAGTTCCAGGTTTTATCATTTTGGTTCTACTTTTCCATAAGGAGACCTTGATGGAGAGAAATATTGGGAGTTGATAAATTAAATCAGTGACTGCCTACTAAGTGGAAAGCACTCTCTCAGACTGTGCTGAAATGCACAAAGGGGTAAGTTCTGGCTCCTGCCTCTTGAGGTGTGTGTAGTCTAGTAGGAAAGACAAATATATGCATATATAACTAATTCAGAATGGGATACCAGTTGAAGTACACAGGCAGAGGTGAATTCTGATTGCAGGAATTGAGTAGGTAGCATTTCTTAGATTTGACATTTGAACTGGATCCTAAAAGGGAAAAGGATAGAACATTCTAGAAGCACAGTTGATAAAGGCGAAAAGGTAAGTCTTATTCAGAGATGGCACATAGTTCAGTAGAGCAAAAACACTGGGCACATGGAGGGACTGACAGTGTGTTATAATACTGAACTTCAGGCATTGGGAAGTCATTGAAGTCAGTGAAGGTTTTTTGTTTTTTTTTTTTGGAGACAGTCTCCCTCTGTTGCCCAGGCTGGAGTGCAGTGGTGGAATCTTGGCTCACTGCAGTCTCCGCCTCCTGGGTTCAAGTGATTCTCCTGCCTCAGCCCCCTGAGTAGCTAGGGTTACAGGCCTGTGCCCCCACACCTGACTATTTTTGTAGTTTTAGTAGAGATGGGGTTTTGCCATGTTGACCAGGCTGGTCTCAAACTCCTGACCTCAAGTGATCCACCCGCCTCAGCCTCCCAAAGTGCTGGGATTACAGGCGTGATCCACTGCGCCCGGCCCGTTGAAGGTTTTTGAACAAGAAAGTGACGCGGCTGGACTCTGGTAGCATGTGTTCAGGTGGATTGGAGGGAGGCAAGAGGGAAGCAATTCAATAGGGAATAAGGGAGTGCAGAGAACAGGGCATGAACCGGGAGGCAGCTGGGTGAGAGCATCCTCTTGGGAGAAATGGCAAGGGCTTGCCATATCTTGCCCTGTGCATCTCTTCCATCTGGTGCTTCCTGAGCTGTGTGTCCTTTATCATAAAGCCATACATGGAAGTAAACCATTACCCTGAGTCTTGGGAGTCACTTCAGCAAATTGAACCTGACGAGGGGTTGTGGGAACCCTGATTTATAGCTGGTCAGTCAGAAGTATGGGTCACATGAGACTTTCAACTTGCATCTGAAGTAGGGGCAGTCATACGGGACTGACTCTCATAACTTGTGGAATCTGATACCAACTCCAGGTCGATAGCCTCAGAATTGAATTGAATTGAATTAGAGGACACCTAGCTGGTGCCTGCTGAAGATTTGCTTGGTTTGGGTTTGGGGGTGGCATTCCTCACACATCTGGTGTCAGGAGTGTGCTGTGCGAGCATAGTGCAGAGAAGCAGTGTTTTCCCAGAGGCCCTTTGATTTGGTCCAGTAGGGTTTGTAGGGGCCAAGGGAAAGCATCCTTTGCCCTCTGAAGATTCACTGAAAAATCAACTCTCAAAAGCAGATTAATAAAAGAAAAGACATACAAATTTATTAATGTGCACAGGAGTTTTACAAAGATCTCAAAGAAATAGCCAGATGGTTGATGCTTTTGTAGCATTTGAGGTTACAGAAGCAGTGGGGGCTCCGAGCATGGCCAGAAAACAGGCTATGGTGGTAAATCAGGTGGCAATAGGTAATGAGGGAGAGAAGAGGAGGCCTGGCTGGCACAGGTGGTCTTGTGTAGATGAAGCCTCACAGATAGCAGCCCTTCAAGAGTGTAGATGCTAAGTGTTTCTTTCAGACCTTTAAAGGCGTCTCTCAGTTCTTTCTAGATTCGGACAAGGAGGGAGGTGCTTCAGAGAAAGCCCATTGGCATCTGTTGTTTACTTCACTTTGTCTCCTCTACAGATGCAAATTCCTCCTGCAAAAGACAGCTTCTCCGTTATTCTTGCATTTCCAGTCCTTCTGAACAGTCATCTTGAAATATGACAAAGAAGTATATTTCGGGATGAAATATTTTGGTTTCTTTCAGCCAAAAGGATCCAGTTCATTGATCAGCCATTTCTCAAACTCCTGGGCTTAAATGATCCTCCTGCCTGTAATGCTGTGATTACAGGTGTGAGCCACTGCACTCAGCCACCTGATCAGCCATTTCTTAACAGGCTGTTCAGCCCTCTCCTCATTTCCCCTGCCCTTGTGACTTTGGACAATTCTTTCCTAAACACAGACATGTTTTGTCATGTTCCTGAAGTTAAAAAGTGTGAGGCCAAAGGGATGTTTATTACTGAACTGCCACAGAACTAGGAGATGTAGAATCTCAATTAGCAGATCCCTTTCCTGTGATGACAGAGACTGTAGCCATCTTGAATTTTGCACATTGAAACAGTCCTCAGACTGAAATAGTCATCCACAAGAGGCCTGATGTCATATATTCTCCGTCTGTTGCAGTCTCATGGAGTCTCAGAATTGTCAGTACAGAATCAAGTTTCTCTCTCTCTTTTTTTTTTTTTCGGAGACAGGATCTCGCTCTGTCTCCCAGGCTAGAGTGCAGCGGTGCGATCTCCGCTCACTGCAGCCTCAACTTCCCCTGGCTCCCATCTCAGCCTCTGGAGTAGCTGGGACTACAGGCACACACCACTGTGCCTAGCTAATTTTTTTGTATTTTTTAGATACGGGATTTTGCCATGTTGCCCAGGCTGGTCTCAAACTCCTGGGCTCAACCAATCTTCCTGCCTTCGCCTCCCAAAGTGTTCAGATTACAGGCGTGAGCTCCGCTGCGTCTGACCCCAAGTTGTTCACTTCTGATTATTCTTGCGGTGCCAAAACAGAGCCTGGCCAAAATGTAGAACCCTAAATTCTGGTTGAGCGACCTGTGTTTCTGCATGCCAGGATTCTTGTGAACTCTCTTGCCCCTTTTCACCTCTTCTCTAGTTCCAGGAAACCAGATGAGATTTACTTTCCTCTATTTTAGGTATTAACATTTTTAAAGGAAAGCTCATCTGTGCTTAGAGCCAAAAGACATCAATGGCCAAATATCTGAAACAGAGAAACTCATGTGAGTTTTCTTGCCTTTGAACTTTCTTTGCGTGGTGACTTTGTGAGCCACCTTCCTTTCTAGACTGTGGGGTTTGAGATTTCCAGATGAGGTCAGATCACTGATTAAACTCGTGTGCAGCATTCGGCTTTGCTGGACCACGTGGTGCAGTCTTGCTGACCCTTTGGGCTTTGCCAGCAGAATCTGCACCATGTGCCCTGGGCCATGTGCATCTTCCTGTGCTGTGGGATGATGGGCTCGTGCCCACCATGCATAACCGTGGAAGCTGAAGTTTGAGGCTTTTGAAATGCCCGTTCTGTTTCTCTGACTCGCTGTGGACATGACATAGCTTTCTCTCTAGTGATACCATATCCAAGAGGGGATAAGTGCACCCACATTTTCACCTCTCATTTGATAGTGGAAGAGAACCAGCCTCTTATACCAGCTGTCTTATACCAGCGAAACCGGTTTTAATGAAGAGGGGTTCTAGGAAAAGCGTCTTTTTCCTAGGTCTGTTCCAGAATCTGTGTTATTTCAGTAATAATGAGGACAGAGTGCTTTGCATTTCCCCAGTTTTGTCCCATACACGATCTCATTTGATCCTAAGTGACCCCCTGAAGTAGGAGGTTGAGGTAGTATCAATCCTGTTTTGCAGATAAAGAGATCAAGATTCAGAGACTTGGAATGGGTTGCTTAATGAACACAGCTAGTGAGTGTAAACTTGGGAATTGAATCTGGGTTTTTTTCAGTTTCCTGATAGTGTTCTTTTTCTCCTTTAACACTATTAAGCCACTCCCAGGCCTTTCAATGTTAAGTTGTGGGATTCTATCATTAAAATGTTACTCCTGTTACTGGACGGTCCAAACATATGTATTGCTCAAGTTCTTTGTCTCCTCGAAAATGAAAATTGCTGCTTTCTTGGAGTAATTTGGTGGCAGGCAGTAGTTTACAGGATGTCTGGCTTCGCTGTTTTGAGTAGCTGCCATGGGGCAGTGCAGGAGGAATTGTGAGGTCTGTGCTGTCAGCAAGTGAGCTCCCTACAGCCCGGAGACAAAGAGACATAGGCAGTGAGGAACCAGGCCTGAGGAACTCACCCCAGCTTCTTGAAGTTCCCAGTGTTTTGCTTAAGGTGACTTAACTCTTGGTCCCAGCTGTCAAGGAAGGGGCTTCTCGGGGGAGAGGTGGTTTGAGTTTCCTTCTAGACTCTGTGCTTCTTGGCTACGGTCTTAAGTGACTGGGACTGAGGCTTTCACAGAACAGAAATGGAGGTGTTCACTGATTGAAAACAGATCTCATTCTCGCTCTTGTATCTTGCTTCCTTTCCCTCCCAGTGGGCTACCTTGAGAATGGAGCGAGGAGCCAAGGAGAAGAACCACCAGCTTTACAAGCCCTACACCAACGGTAAGATGGGGGCGTGGTCCTTGTCCTGAGAGGTCCATTTGAACAGTATTCCCCAGTGCTTCTGGTGCCACACACACTCTTCCCTGCATTAGTGCAGGATGTGTGCTCTGAGTATGTCTCACGTGCTCTCCCGCAGCATGCTGCTTGACAGGGACACACTCTTTTGCAGGAATCATTGCAAAGGATCCCACTTCACTAGAAGAAGAGATCAAAGAGATTCGTCGAAGTGGCAGTAGTAAGGCTCTGGACAACACTCCAGAGTTCGAGCTCTCTGACATTTTCTACTTTTGCCGGAAAGGAATGGAGACCATTATGGACGATGAGGTGACAAAGAGATTCTCAGCAGAAGAACTGGAATCCTGGAACCTGCTGAGCAGAACCAATTATAACTTCCAGTACATCAGCCTTCGGCTCACGGTCCTGTGGGGGTTAGGAGTGCTGATTCGGTACTGCTTCCTGCTGCCGCTCAGGTGAGGCAGGGCCTGTGGGGAGTGGGGCTCGCTGCTGCCACCCCACTTGGTGCACGGCCCACCTGCCTGCTCCGCTGTGTGTTCCCGTTTTAGAAAGAAGGGAATGACTGCCACTAGCCAGGCCATGTGACTCTTTGGAGGGGTACACTGGTGATTCTCTTTTAGAGGCCCTTGAATTTTCTGCATATCAGACAGAAATAGTTGGATTTCTTAAAGACAGCTTGCTTGTCTAGATCACAGCAAACACGGGGATAGGGAACATTGTGTGCTTTCTGCCACTCCTCCCTGGACATGGCTTATTCTTTCCTGAAGCTTGCCTCTCAGGTACAGAGACAGTATTGATCTTTCAGCTTCTCTGCACCGTGTGCTGCTCTGAGTGTGCCTTGCCAGATGCTAATACCCTTCAAGCTCCACCTCCTGTTGCTTCAGAGGGAAGCTGTGCTTCCGCCGGGGTTTTCAGCCATAGGGAAGGGGTGGGCAGCAGGGAGCAGCCCTGCGGCAGAACAGCCTGCTTAGGGTTTTCCAGCCTTCCAGCTGCCGAGGCCTCAGGAGATGCTGGCGGCTGAGAGCCAGACCCATGGCTCACTGTCAGTTGGAATCAAAAGGATCTCTGGTTCTGATAGGACTGCTCACATTTCTAGGTGAACTCTGGTCCAGATCCCAGGTGAGCAGGTCTTGGGGGTGGTTTTTGTGATGCCTAGTGTGATTTTCACACCTTCAGTTCTGTACTTGGTACAAGGATTTGCTGGCTGTGCTCTAACTTTTCTTCTTCTTACAGGATAGCGCTGGCTTTCACAGGAATTAGCCTTCTGGTGGTGGGCACAACTGTGGTGGGATACTTGCCAAATGGGAGGTGAGTAGAATGTGGCAGTCCACACCTAAAGGGCAGTTAGTTCTGGGAATGGTGCTCAGATATCGAAGGCCAGGCCCCTTCTTTGGACACAACCAAAGCCATGGAATCTTAGATGGATTAAATAACCCAGTGGTGGCCAGGTGTGGTGGCTCATGCCTGTAATCCCAGCACTTTGGGAGGCTGAGGTGGGCCGATCACCTGAGGTCAGGAGTTCGAGACCAGCCTGGCCAGCATGGCGAAACCCTGTCTTTACTAAAAATACAAAAATTAGCCGGGTGTGGTAGCGGCTGCCTGTAATCCCAGCTACTTGGGAAGCTGAGGCAGGAGAATCCTTGAATCCGGTAGGCAGAGGTTGCAGTGAGCCAACACCACACCACTGCACTCCAGCCTGGGTGACAGAGCAAGACTCTGTTTCTAATAATAATAATAATAACAACAACAACAACAACAACCCAATGGTAACAATGGCATCAGCAGTAAAGTCTTTACTTTTTTTTATTTTGATCTATGACTGTTCTTTTTGTCCTTTAGCCCTCGCGTTCTTCCCATTTTAAAGACAAAAGGGAGAAGCCACAAACACGTAGGGTCCGAGACTCAGATGTTAACAGATTTTACAGCTTGTTGTTTAGTTTTGAGCAGTTGACTGTGTGGATAAAGTGGTGAGACAATACAGTTTTTAAAATGATACGAGATGTAGGGAGGTTTTGTCTGTTTGTGAAGAATATTTTGCTCCCTTCAGGAAATTCTGGGGCTTGAAAACCTTTCTTCTGCCTGGGCAGGTGAGGAGGTTTGCCTCTGGCCTTGGGCCTGCCACTGGGTGTTGACTGGGGGAACGGAATTCAGCCCGCCTGTGGTCTGCCGATGCCGAATTCTAGGCTGTGAATTCTCCACCCACTGATTTGGGTGGATGTAAGCGAGTCTCCCTGTCCCCTCTTTCTTTCCTCATGTGTGAACATAAAGGTGGTCATGCATCACAGGGCTTTCCTGTACGTGCTCATGTCTATAAAAGCACTATGCCGTCATAAAGGACTGCTGAACTGTTCAAGTCAGCAACTGTTTCTGTCTTCCTGTATGTAAAATAAAACCCAGAATCCTTGTCCTGTTGTTGCAGGTTTAAGGAGTTCATGAGTAAACATGTTCACTTAATGTGTTACCGGATCTGCGTGCGAGCACTGACAGCCATCATCACCTACCATGACAGGTGAGAGTGCTTTGTGTCAATAGGAAGGGAAATGGCACTGCAGGAAACACCACCCACCTATACTTGGCCAAATGGGAAGACACTTCTGAGCTTTTAGTTAAAGCAGATGAAGCGTGTGAGGTGAGAGGTGTGTTACATGAACTGTTGTTTCACACTAATTTTGGTTGTTTTGCATACATTTAAACCCAGGGAAAACAGACCAAGAAATGGTGGCATCTGTGTGGCCAATCATACCTCACCGATCGATGTGATCATCTTGGCCAGCGATGGCTATTATGCCATGGTAAGAGCTCTTTCCGGTGCATTCTTGAGGCAAGACTTCCTGCTTTAGACTGGTCAGGGCCAGGAGGGTCTAGGAGGGTCTAGGAGGCTCCTGGACCCTTCACATAAACACTTTTATGCGTGGGCCACCACCTTACTGTCACTGTGGGGGCTCTGTGGGACTGTGATAGGAGATACCCTGGGTAGAGTGAGTGGTGAATGTGGTTGGAGAGGATGCTGAGGGCGGTCAGGCAGACCAGCATGGGGAGAGGGAGGAGCTGGCAAGGACTGTGTCCAGAGCATCTGAGAATCTGCCCAGGGAGGGGCAGTTTTACACAAGGATTTGCACTACTTTAGTATTTTGTCTTAGGGGTTTCGGTTATGTTTTTAATTACCTATTTCTAGTATTACTGATTAAAAGGAGAAGTTTAAGATTTGGGGAGTCTTGGTAGTGGTTTCTTGGCAGTGAGCAACCTCCAGCCAGCAAGTGTTAGAGGTAAGAGGTTGGACCAGCAAGCGTTAGAGGTGAGAGGTTGGATTGCTTATTTTGTGAGATCTAGGGCTTCCTAGAGTGGGGAGATTTGTGTGAGGATGGCTTCACTACTAATGGGTCCTGTGCCTGCGCTTAGGTGGGTCAAGTGCACGGGGGACTCATGGGTGTGATTCAGAGAGCCATGGTGAAGGCCTGCCCACACGTCTGGTTTGAGCGCTCGGAAGTGAAGGATCGCCACCTGGTGGCTAAGAGGTAATGGACAGAACACTGCTGTTCTGCTTGGCCGGTTAGAATGCTGAAAAGGTTTCAGGGAGTTATCCCTCCACAGTGTAGTTATGTGCCTTCTATCACAAGCCTATACTGCTTTCATAATAATCTTTTCCTAAAACATGATATTTTAAAAGTGGCCGGGTGTGGTGGCTCATGCCTGTAATCCCAGCACTGTGGGAGGCCGAGGTGGGCAGATCACTTGAGGTCAGGAGTTCGAGACTAGCCTGACCAACATGGTAAAAATACAAAATACTAAAAATACAAAAATTAGCTGAGTGTGGTAACAGGCATCTGTAATCCCAGCTACTAGGGAGACTGAGGCAGGAGAATCGCTTGAACCAGGGAGGCAGAGGTTGCAGTGAGCCGAGATCGTGCCATTGCACTCCAGCCTGGGCGACAGAGTGAGACTCTGTCTTAAAATTTTAAAAAAGTATAGAAACCCTAGTATTATTTACCAAGTTAATAATGTTTCTTAACCTTTTTTAATTCATTGTACCCATCATAATAAACAAAATACGAACTTTCACTGCTATTTGAAACCTCAAAATGAATTCATTTATCACAAATAAAAAGAAACCTAGGGCAGTGGAACAAAGTACTGCTCTGTTTTCAAACTTTAAGAAGGTGAATCTGGTGTAAGTAATGCAAAGAGATTTGCAGCAGAAAGAGACATCAAGACAGTTGAGACCAAGCCACACATGGTGGCTCAGGCCTATAATCCCAGTGCTTTGAGAGCCCGGGAGTTCAAGACCAGCCTGAGCAACATAGGGAGAGCTTATCTCTACAAAAAATTTAAAATTAGCCAAGCATGGTGGTACGCTCCTGTAGTCCCAGCTACTTGGGAGGCTGACGTAGGAGGATCGCTTGAGCCAGGAAGGGTGAGACTGCAGTGAGCTGTGATTGCACCACTGTATTCCAGCCTGGGCAACACAGGGATACCCTGTCTCAAAAAATAACAAATAAGAAAAGACAGTTGAGATTATCTTCCGTAGAGACAGATGAACCCTCTCCTAACTCCCTTTGCTACATCTCAGGGACAGAGCGTTGAGCCAGCAGGGCTGGGCCCAGCCTCACAACTGTTAACACAGTCTAGTGCCACAGGTTTATTGAGGGGGCCATGCCCAGGCCTTGTGGCAGGCGTCTCCTTCAAGTGGCCCCCAGGTTGAGTGGCATCGTTGGTGCTCTGATGTTCACACAGAATTGAACAGTTCTGTGAATGAAATAGTAACCTGATTTTCTCTATCCATATACATTTTTTCTTGATGAGCATTAGATTATGGGTTTAAAAGGATACGGTCATGCTTGTTAACTTCTTATAATCGAAACTAGTGTCACAAATAAATAAGTTATTTATAAACGTATTTTGACAATGATGTGTATAAGGTTGTCTGATCCTTCATTTTATTTTCCTCTTTGAAAGACTGACTGAACATGTGCAAGATAAAAGCAAGCTACCTATCCTCATCTTCCCAGAAGGTAAGAAGGGATTGGTTGCCATAAAGCGCTTCTGTGAGGAGTGCAAGAGTGTGATGCTGATGTTTCGTGGGAACCAAGGCCCTCAGCCCTTGTTGGGGTTATCTGTTTTCACTGAATAATGTTAGGTCCCCTTTAGATTGGAAATAGGACTAAAAACTCAGGCAAGTTCAGAATTTGAACTAAGAATGCCATAGTGTAAACTCCCCAAATGCAGGAATTTCTTCTGTAATGTTTCAGCTCCTCATGGAGCTCGTGGAGTCCTCCTAAGACCACTGTGCATCTCTGCTTTATCCAGGCTGTGTGCGTGACTCAGGGAAAGTGGTCCTGTAGCAGGAGAATTGGAGGCACCATCTTGCCTGTCTCGTTAAGTGTTTGTTTTTAAGTTAGGGAGATGACAGATGTATCTTATTGGAGGAACCATTAGAAGAATTTTGACTATTGTGCTTAGTCTTTAAGAAACACCTAATATCTGGGGTAAAGGGCCAACAGAAATAGCATTTTATTGTCTCCTGCATTTTAGGAACCTGCATCAATAATACATCGGTGATGATGTTCAAAAAGGGAAGTTTTGAAATTGGAGCCACAGTTTACCCTGTTGCTATCAAGGTACAAGACCTCCGATGGTACACAGTGTCATTATTGGAACTGCTGTGAGTGGAGCGCAGCAGGAGGAGATGGAAGAAGGAGCCGGCGTCACCAGTCTGTGGTTGATGCCCTCAGCAGAGTGACATGGGACTGGGCTGATGTGGATCAAGTGCTGCCAGAGGAGGATGCTGAGCACTCAGCACCCCCTTAGAAGGGCCTGGGGAGTGTGGGATGGGGGACAGCCAGATTCCTGCCTGCATGCTGCTGCCGCCACTATTCAGGAAATGGCAAGCCCTTCACTTCTTACCTTCATAAACCTAGCTGGAATGTAGGCCCCTCCACCTGGAAAGGTGACTGATTGCAGGGCACAGAGGTGTAGTTTCAAGCTGGATTTTTGCATTTTGGGGGAGCTGCGAGAATGGGGGGGTCCTTATTACGGCGCAGTGGGAGAAACGGCTTCACTGCTTTTAGTCGTGTCATCTTTTAGACCTACAGCAGCTCCTATCAATGAGATGGACCCTGGGAGTTTATCTAATCTACGTCAACGCTTTAGGAACTGCTGCTCTAACCCTTCAGACACCCAGAGCTATAGGATGTGATTAGCCAGTCATCTGCACTTTGTTCCTCTCTGCTCTTACCCTCTCCACATCCACGAGGCCTCACATCATGACACCTACAAAACACAGGCCATCCTCAGTGTGGTTAAAGTATTTAGACTGCAGCCTGAGAGCTCGGTAAAATGGTGAGCAGATATGAGTCAGGCTCACACTTAGAATTTCTTTTATAGGGGACTGTGGGTTGTCTGCAGAGCATTCTGTAGAGTTGGTTCTGACTTTCTTTTCACCTTGCCAGTACCACTGGAGAGGTGTTGTTCCTGGTGAGACAGATGCTTACCAGCCACTCACTGTTCATCATTTAGGCAGAGGACCAGGCCAGGGATGGCAGATGAATATTGCCTGCAGGGGACTCTGATTGACAGGTTAGGACTCACCAGAGCCTGAGGATGCAGTGTCTGGGTATAGCAAGAAAGAGGAACATAGTCTGGTAGCAGAGTCTGCCTTGGGTGTGGGAGTGGAGAGTGACATCTGCATCCTATATTCTGGCAAAACGAGGACAGGTGCTTTGCAGTGTGACTGTGAAGCTGCTGAATGGAAGCCCTTACCGCTCCCTCCAGAACAGTGGCTCTTGAACTTAGGCTGCATTAGCATTGCCTGGAGGAATTGTTAAAATGCAGATTGCTGGGCCCCACACCCGGGGTTTCTGAACTTCCCGTTCTTTTTCTTTTGAGGCAGGGTCTCAGTCTGTCACCCGGGCTGGAGTGCAGTGGCACAATCATGACCCACTGCAACCTCGACTTCCCACATTCAGGTGATTCTCATGTCTCAGCCTCCCAAGTAGCTGGGATTATAGGTGCACGCCACCACACCCAGCTAATTTTTTAATTTTTGTAGAGACGGAGTTTCACCCCAGACTGGTCTAGAACTCCTGGGCTCAAGTGATCTGCCTGCCTTGGCCTCTCAAAGTGCTGGGATTACAGGCCTGAGCCACCCCTCTGGGTCTTCTGAATTTCTATTCTAACATGTTCTGGGTGGCACTGATGGTGCCTATTGGGACCACACTGTGGCAGCCACAGTTCTGAAGCAGTGCTCTTAGCTGCTGTTGAAACACGAACCCTGAGGAGTTTCCGCTCCTCTCCAAAGTAAAATGCTTATAAATTTTAGATACATTTCCATTCAGTCCACAGGGTAGAGCCCATGTATGGCTAAGAACATCTGGTCTACAGATTACTGGTTTTTGTGAACCCTTTATTGGTAACCAAACTTGGATAACCTTAGTGATTTCCAGGCTCTTCTTATATTCCCACCGGAATTCCGCCATGACCTGATGTGAGGAGTGTGTCACTGTGTTGAGCTTCTGCCTTGTTTCTCTGTCCACACACACTGCCCAGTGTGGAATAGAGAATCAGCCCGAAACAAAGGGTTCTCACACTCTTGTGACATCAGAACTTCTGTCCATATCAGGCTTTATGAAATGTAACGACATGACCAGGTGCGGTGGTTCATGCACGTAACCCCAGCACTTTGGGAGGCTGAGGCAGGTGGATCACTTAAGGCCAGGAGTTTGAGACAAGCCTGGCCAATATGGTGAAACCCCGTCTCTCCTAAAAATACAAAAAAATTAGCCGGGCATAGTGGCAGGCGCCTGTAGCCCCAGCTACTCAGGAGGCTGAGGCAGGAGAATGGCATAAATCCAAGAGGCGGAGCTTGCAGTGAGCCGAGATAGCGCCACTGCACTCCAGCCTGGGCGACAGTGCGAGACTCTTAGCTCAAAAAAATATATATATAATAATAATTTAAAAAATAAAATAAAAAAATTCTTTCTGATCATACACATTAGCTTAGTTTTAAAAACTTATTATTTTCCCTTGTTTCTGTTGGTATTATAATAACTCATTAAGCCTTCTGTGGTTAAATCTAAATTTCTTAGCTTCTATAATTAAGCCTAAATTACCTTCATTTTTGTAGTTAGGGCCACAGTCTTGTCAAAATTATCCAATTTTTATACTGTGGATCATAAAAGTTAGGCTGGAAAGGCCTAAAAGATCATAGAGTTCAACCCCACCCCAGCCCATGCTCACATGCAGGACCCTGCCCAGGGCTTCTTCTCAGGCTTTCCCAGGAAAAGGGCATTTTTGATGTTGTTGGCAGCATGGCCGTGTGGCATAACTCTTGAAATTCTGGCTCCTTTATTTTTCCACTCTGGTCCTGGGTGTTTGCACAAGGTCAGCCTACTGCCTTGTGTACAGGATCCCTTCAGACATTTGCTAGCAGCACCAGGCACTTTGTCCAGGCGTTCTCAAGCGCCCAGGTCCTCCTGTTGCTCCTTGCGCAACTTCCTCCGGAGCTTACCCACCCTGATCACCTGCCCCTCCAGCTGCTGGTTTGGTGAGAATGTGGGTCACAGCTGCAGCCACATTTTCCGCAAAACGCCACTGAAGTGCTGCCTTTTGCCTCCATTAGAGCCACTGGCAAATGAAAGGATCTGAGACCTGCTTCATGGTAGAAGCAGCCTATGTGGTTGAGACCTCCCGGGGCTGTCAGCGTGAGCACAGAGCCGTGTCCTGAACAGACGACTGACTTTGTTGAAAGTGTAAATGCAAAAGCTTTCTAATAGTTTCCTCCCTGGTCTGGGCACCAGAAATCACATTTAAAACTTGGTGTTTGTGTAAGAAAATATCTTTATCTGGGGGAGGTACACTAGATGAATGACAGGATGCTGGGAGGGGAGAGATGAAGCAAGTGGGAAACGTTGGCGGTGGTTGACTCAGGGAATGGGTACATGGGAGTGCATGATCCTTTTCTCCCTGGTTTTGAAGATGTTTGAAAACTTTATATACCTATGAGTAAGACCTGAAACTAACCAAAGAGGGAGACATTTGCTTGAGGCAGGCTGTCAGGGGAGCCTTCCTTACTGATCTGCAGCAGAGGCCAGGTCCCTCGGGGGAGAGCAGTGTTGCTCGCAGTCAGAACCGGCCACATGGAGAGGGGCTTCCGCAGTACTCATGCAGGGTCAGGGAGCAGCGCCCCAGTACCAGCACGGCCCAGTGGAGTCACTCAGAGCAATCGCTGTGGACTCGCACACGTGAGAACTACTCACGTCTTACCTTCAGCTTTCCATTGTTTTCAGTATGACCCTCAATTCGGCGATGCCTTCTGGAACAGCAGCAAATATGGGATGGTGACGTACCTGCTGCGAATGATGACCAGCTGGGCCATTGTCTGCAGTGTGTGGTACCTGCCTCCCATGACTAGAGAGGTGAGTGCCTGCCCCAGACAGATCTGCACCTGCTCTGTGTAACATCAAGCCGGGGCTGAGTGGTCTCATTTGTTCTTTCTTACAGGCAGATGAAGATGCTGTCCAGTTTGCGAATAGGGTGAAATCTGCCATTGCCAGGCAGGGAGGACTGGTGGACCTGCTGTGGTAAGTTTAGAGCCAGGCCTTATCAGCTGAGTTCCTGCAGCAGATGCTGTGTCATTGACTTCACTTACATGTCATTCCCCCTGCTGTGGAGAATTCAACTTGTCAGCTCTAGAGAGAGCAGTTTGACTCTCCCTGAATTCCAACCCAGAAGTGCCCTGTGCTTCCTTGACCTTGGGGAACCTGGATCAGGGACACCTGGACTGAAGCAGTTGATTCTGTGTACCTTTCTGGGGTTTGAACCCGTCTTCCAGGACACCTGGACAGTGTCCTTCTCTGGGTGGGCATGACCTGCTACTGATCTGAAAACCTCAAGAAGGCAGGGTGACTTTCCCTGGTCCCAGTGTATCTGGCAAAATTGAACCATCCTTAGAAAGGCAAAGGTTGTGTTTGTTGTATTCAGCTTATTACCTAATAGAGCAGGATTGACATACTTTTTCTGTAGTCAGTAAATATTTTAGGGTTTGCAGGCCATATGGTGTCTGTTGGAGCTACTGATCTCTGCCATTGTAGTGTGAAAACAGATAGTCTACAAACCAATGAGCATGGCTGTGTTCCAATAAAACTTTATTTACAAAAACAGGTATCAGCTGGATGTGGCCTATGGGCTGCATTTGACCAGCCCTTATACTAGAGTATAAGATAGTTTTATCCCAAACAGTAGGAGAGTGACCAGAGGTGAATGCTGGTTCAGAGAAACTTTTCCACTGTGTGGGTCACTTAGGTTTAAGAGCCAAGGGTCAACTGGGGAGAGCATTTGACTTAGATGGGCATTATCTGTGAGAAAAGAAAGGGTAGAAATTCACATTGTAAACCCCACTGTATAGTCTCAGGGATTAGATTGGCTCTCAGATCATGGCCTTTTAAAAAATGCTAGCGTGGATTGTGCACTCACTGTGCCAGCCACCGAGCTTCTGGGGCCCTGTGTGATCATCTCTTTCACCCTCACAGTAGCTGCAGCCCTGTAAACAAGTGTTCCCATTTTACAGATGAGAAACTGATACTCAGGTTAAATCACTTTTCTCCAAAGTCATAACATTAGCACTGGAGCTAGATTTTGCATCCACATCTAACAGACTTTTAGAGCTTCAAGGTTTAACTTCTGCCCCATCTTCTCATCTCTAAGAAAGACAGAGTGGCTGCTTTTAAAAACCATGCCTTTGCTATGGATTTTAAAGGGTGTAGTGGAGAGACTGAAAGCGGGCTTGGATTTTTATAAGTTGTTGAAGGTGGTGATAATTCTAGAGTGTAGGCACAGAGGGGACCAGCAGGCAAGAGGGAATGGGACTGTAACGAAACAACCCCAAGTCTGGTGGGTTGGTTTGGGACTGCTGCAGGGAGGCACTGGGGCAGTGAGGTTGGTACTCTTTGAGAGGCAGCCCCAGAGATAAACCTCCATTCCTGACGGCACTCTTTTTTGAGCATGAAAGAAGTCAGAATGCGCGTTACCCCTTGTGTTAGCTCTCTGCATGAGTTCGGAGTATCCCTGGGTCTGAATTAAACAAATGACATTTTACAGATCGATATTACAGATATGTTATGAGTCGATATTTTGGAAGCATGTCTACCTTCCGTAATGCCAGAATTCCTCCTTTTCCTTTGTGAGGTGAAGATGAATGTTAGAGTAGAAAGAATTGTAAACTCCTTGGTAGGTTTAAGCAGTTACCAAGTACTTTCAATGTGAGTAGTAAATTCTTACTGCAGGGCAAGAGTGGACCTTCTGAGATAGAAAGGGTGAATATTGGGAGCCCAGAACCCCAGATCCCCTGAGGTTGTCTTGGTGAGAGTGCCTCGGGGTACCCTGTTTCTGGCAGGTTTTTCTTGGTATTTGGGCAGCACGGTGCATCTCCCATGGTGTGAGGGTGCCTGGGAATCCTCTTGGCTGTTACTACATCCAGCCTTTGTCTCTCCAGGGATGGGGGCCTGAAGAGGGAGAAGGTGAAAGACACGTTCAAGGAGGAACAGCAGAAGCTGTACAGCAAGATGATCGTGGGGAACCACGAGGACAGGAGCCGCTCCTGAGCCTGCCTCCAGCTGGCTGGGGCCACCGTGCGGAGTGCCGACGGGCTCGGAGCTGGAGTTGCCGCCGCGGCCCCCACTGCTGTGTCCTTTCCAGACTCCAGGGCTCCCCGGGCTGCTCTGCATCCCAGGACTCCGGCTTTCGCCAAGCCGCAGCGGGATCCCTGTGCACCCGGCGCAGCCTGCCCTTGGTGGTCTGAACGGATGCTGCTGGGTGTCACGACCCAGGACGAGATGCCTTGTTTCTTTTACAATAAGTCGTTGGAGGAATGCCATTAAAGTGAACTCCCCACCTGTGCACGCTGTGCGGGCTGAGCGGTTGGGGAGATGTGGCCATGTTCTTGTGCTAGGGATGGCGGGACAAGAGTCTGTTATGCAAGCCTGTGTGCCAGGGATGTGCTGGGGGTGGCCACCCGCTCTCCAGGAAAGGCACAGCTGAGGCACTGTGGCTGGCTTCGGCCTCAACATTGCCCCCAGCCTTGGAGCTCTGCAGACATGATAGAAAGGAAACTGTGATCTGCAGGGGCTTTCAGCAAAATGAAGGGTTAGATTTTTATGCTGCTGCTGATGGGGTCACCAAAGGAAGGGGAAGAGGCCAGGTGGGCCGCTGACTGGGCCGTGGGGAGAACATGTGTTCATACTCCAGGCTAACCCTGAACTCCCCATGTGATGCGCGCTCTGTTGAATGTGTGTCTCAGTTTCCCCATCTGTAACCTGAGTCGGGGGGAAGCGTGGTGATTCCTACCTCACAGGGCTGTTGTGGGGATTAAAGTGCTGCGGGTGAGTGAAGGACACGTCACGTTCAGTGTTTCAAGTACAGGCCCACAAAACGGGGCAGGGCAGGCCTGAGCTCAGAGCTGCTGCCCTGGGCTTTGGATTTGTTCTTGTGAGTAAATAAAACTGGCTGGTGAATGAACTGGGGGACTTCTCCCTTTACTTTCTCCCCTGGCTGTGGCCCTGAGTAGCGGGCTTCTCGTGAGAATTCCCGTTCTCTTCTGGGAGCATGGCCCTGGGGCTGCGGAGAAGCTGCCTGACTGCTGGAGCGAGGAAGCCTGCAGCTGAGAAGGTGAACGGGCTCGTCTCAGATGCTTGCAGATCTTTGGATAATTTAGAATTTCCAGCACAGACGTGAATTTCTCCAGAGATTGGGGGTACACGGGGTGCTGATGTGAGGCCTAGGAGAAGCAATGAGTAAACTCCAGGGCGGGGGAGGAGCAGGGGCCCCGGGAGGGCTGCAGAGGGGCAGGGTGGGCAGGGCGTGTGCTGCATGGTGGCTTCCACACAGCCAGAGCAGGCACCACAGGGAAAAGACTCGGCCACTGGTGCCTGCTGTACAGTCACAGTGGAGGCAGAGCCAAGGCCAAACAGCCCCTCTGGGTTCTGCGGTTTCACCAATTTCATGCCCCTCAGCCCCCCATTCATGTGCCACTAGCCCTCACTTGGGACCCACGCTCCCTTGTGGCACAGTCATGACGCCTCTCAGGATTTTGTGCCAGTGGTGCCAAGTGTCGTGTCCCTAAGGTTGCCCTCTGTCCTGCGGTTCAGGGAGGGGTGGGAGTGAAGCCGTGTTCGTGGGGCTGCAGACGGATCCACTTTGTCATGTGGGGACCTGCTGGGTTGGCCCTGCAGTCTCCCTTTCTCTGCGCCTACCTGTGACCTCCCCGGGAAAGCCTCCCATTTCCTCACCTATCCTGTTGCCAGCCCAGGGGAAATCCTCTTTTTGCTCTGAAATGAAGACTGAAAAAATAAAGTCAGTGTTATGACTAATAACAGTCTCTTAGGAACTGTTTTACAGAATGCTTAAGAATAAAAAGTGATTTTCAGCTTTTATAGGTGATGTTTACAGTGTTTGTAAACTTAACTGGAGGGATCAGTAATTGGTCTTAAAGATCAGGTTCTCTTTTAAAAGGTTCATCTGAGACTATGATATGTTACTTTCGTGATTTGCATAGGTATTTATGTATACACACACAGGTTTTGCTTTTGTTTGTCTCACATTCAGCACAGCTGTCTGCAGCCCCTGCCGGCAGGTATGGCCACACCTGGTGTGAAGTCACGTGGAGTCAGCGCTGTGGAGGGAAGTCCTGTGCAGGACAGGCAGTGAGGAGAGGACTGACTCTCACGCCTGCAGAAACAAAACCTCCCCTTTCTGTGTATGCCTTCTATCATCATCCAGGCGACTGCTCCATCCTTTTAAATTAGGGGTCCTGCAGGCCCCAAGTGACCCATAGAGTGTCTGGTTTGAGATGACTTGAGTTGGTCTTATGGGACAAAACCTCAAGACACTTAGAAATATGCAAAGTACAAAATAATGTGTTCCCTCCTGTTACCCCAGTGAGGGTGGGGCTGAGCTGGGAATGACACCCAGTAGTGTAATGAGTGCAACAAGTGCTGGCCAGCTGCTAACCCCCCTCCAAGCCTGCTGCATCTTCACTTCTCTGCGTCTGTCTCCTGAGTCATAACTAGGGACTTGGCTAGATGACCTCAGAGACACCGTCCACATCTGAATTTTCTATTTTGAAGCCCATAGTTCAAACTTTGGTTTTGATCTCTGAAGTCTTCTGGGTTTGGAAATATGGGAGGTCAGCTCTGAATCCATTGCTTCTCTAAAACATCAGGGCTAGAGGAACTAACCCACTTGAGGGTGACCTCAAGGGCTTTAGGCAGCCGTGGGGCTGGTGCCACACTGCTCTCAGGCTGGGCAGTGTCCTTTGTGGATATCGGACAGCCTTTTTTACTCAAACATGAGACCTTCCACCCACCAGTTAGAAAGGGAACTTTTTTTTTTTTTTTTCAACACGGAGTTTCACTCTTGTTGCCCATGCTGGAGTGCAATGGCACAATCTCAGTTCACTGCAACCTCCACCATCAAGTGATTCTTATGCCTCAGCCTCCAAATAGCTGAGATTACGGGCATGCACCAGCACACCCAGCTAATTTGTTGTATTTAGTAGACTGAGTTTCACCATGTTGGTCAGGCTGGTCTCAAACTCCTGATCTCAGGTGATTCTCCTCAGTCTCCCAAAGTTCTGGGATTACAGGCATGAGCCACCGCACCCAGCCAAGAGGGAATTTTTTAATAAAGCTAGTGGGATTCCCTTGACAGCAGAACCAGCTTTGGGACTTGATGCTTTACTGTGTCAGAATCCAGTCCCTGCTGCTGCCTTTCAGAGATAGAAGAGGCTTGATGTGTGAGGGGTCAGGGGAGTGCTCCAGATCCCTGAATGTCCATCCCAGACCAGTGACAGGCACTTTTGGGCACCATCGTGTGTCCTTCACGGCAGAACAAACAGTGGGCACTAACCCTGTTGTCCTGTGGAAATCTGGGTCCCTGAATCCTGCCGTTTCCTTCCTGGAATTGGCCAGGAACTTGATTGTCTGGGCTAGTGCTTGCTGCTGTCCCCTGATGCATGAAGGATCCCCCCGTGTCATAGGTCCCACCCGCCTGCTGTGCATCCCGGGTGGCCAGACTTGGCTTCTCCAGGTGCACTTGTCCTGGGTGGCCCGGCCCGTGGGCTGGAAGGGCAGCTGCAGGCGCACTGCCTCGCAGACAGGTTAAGAGACGGGCACGCGGCCATCCGTCTTCTACAGCACACACACCCCGCTCCCCCCCAGTCAATATGTCTCTCTCCGATGGGAAAGTTAATAAATTTTGCTCTAGATTAAAAGTATTGATCATTTCATTTGTAAACGATAAATAAAAAGGGGGAACTTTTCATTGCGCCGGGGGTGGCGCCTGGCGTGTGTTGTGGGGGTGATTGCACTGGCTGCCGGGGGATGGGCTTCTCATATGCATTCTGGCCGGCCAGCTGCATTGATTTCCTATTAGTCTCCCAGCACCACCCAGTAACACATCATTTCAGTACCTGCTATTAATGGTCTTTTGATAAATAATCACTTGTAAGTCAATAAATTTTTATTAAACAGTGTGGCTCTTTGATTTATTAAAATCCGACCGTGTTTGTCTGGGAGAAAAGGGATGCCGAATTGAAGTGGAGGTTTTCATACATCTTCCTGACGCAGAGCAGTCACCACACACTCCAGAGAAAAACAATTGCATTTTAACAGAAACAAAACGGCCGAGTTTGGAACTTGGGCCCAGGGAAACTTTATCTCCGTCAGCCTGAGGCTTACTCTGCAGGGATCAGCCGCAGGCCGGAGGGCGCCGAGTTGAGAACTTTGTGTTGGTCTCCAAGAGTGCCCAGGTGCCAGGGCTGGATGCCCCTGCTGGGCTGCATTCTGGGGTGGCACCTACCGGCCCTCTCCCAGCTGGGGATGCACCCTGGGGCAGGCACCCTTTGCCAGCAGACATCTGGCATCAACAAGAGAAGCTCGTATGGCAGGACCCTTTAGCTTCCTTCCTGGCCAAATTGCCACCAGAGTCACCTGTGGCAGGAAGATGTGCCAGGAGACAGTCTTTTGCAGCAATCAGGCTGTGTGGATTATTTTTTTAAGTGTGGGCCAATAGCTGAAGACTGGAAATGCCATTTTGTGAGATTTTCATTGGCATAGAGTTTGCTGTAAAGAGTTTGGCACTTTTCATCGAGACGAATATGGCCCCAAACAGATGGTCTTACATAGAGTAACCCAACCACTGACGATGCAACCAGAATTCTCACCCAGGGGGAAGTTGTAGGAAAGGGAAAACACTTTCTATTCTAGTGTTTCTAATAAACGTTTTCATTAAAGCGAATAGTTGGAACACCTTGACCCTCCCTCGTTCAGGCTGCTGCTGCGAACTTCCTTCCCATTCATGCTTAGTGGAGCGGATGGGAACACACAAGGGCTTTTGACAGCAGGACTCTCGGTAAGAAGTGAGGCTGCGGGCCTTCTCTGGAATTGTTAGGATTTCCTTTTCTCTTCTGGTCTCAGGGGACCTTGAAGGTGGTTAGGAGACTGGACGGCAGAAAACAGGTCTGAGTGTCCCGCAGAGCAGGCGAATGCTAATAGAGTGGTTTTCAGGAGTGTGGTCCAGGCTGTGCCCATGTGCAGGAGGCTGATCAAGGACCTAGTTTCTCTTCCAAAGACTTCCAGCCTTGCCCCCAGGAATGTGCCAGGCTGGCCAGTGAAGCCGGGGGACACCATGAATGTGGATTCCCAGCGCACCTTGCATGTTAACACGTACAGACTTCAAGTCCACTTTCGGGGTTAAGCAGGACACTTCTGAAATGTTTCAGTGAGGGCTTCAGTGCACTGGCTCCCCGACACCTCACTTCCCGCGCCCACACCCATCCCACTGCACTGTTAGGAGCACTTTGCTGGGGAGGCTAAAGAATGATCTCAGGCTTTCGCGTACTCCATGAGGTTACTTCCTATGCAGGAGTCAAATACATTAAACTGGGAAAGGAATGGCTCTTGCTTGGCAGCTGCCATTACAGTTGCTGATGGGGGCCACAGGAGTGAGGTTGGCTAAAGATGGGATAAGGGGATTTGGGCCATCACCCGGCAGGTACCTGCACCACCTGTTGATGTCACCAGCGGGAAGCCACAGCAAGGCGGATGTCAGGAGGCTCTGTCTCCCTAGAGAGCAAAAGAGGAGACCTGGTAATTCCAAGAGTAGCCATGACTGCACTCCCTTCCCTTGAACCCACGGGTCCCAAAATGCATTTATTGGTTGTTGTTTTGTTTGTTTGTTTGTTTTTGAGACAGAGTCTTGCTCTGTTGCCCAAGCTGAGTGCAGTGGCATGATCTCGACTCACTGCAACCTCTGCCTCCCAGGTTCAAGTGATTCTCCTGCCTCATCCTCCCGAGTAGCTGGGATTACAGGCACGTGTCACCGTGTCCCGCTAATTTTTGTAGTTTTTAGAAGAGACAGGGCTTCACCATGTTTGTCAGGCTGGTCTTGAACTCCTGACCTCAGGTGATCCACCCGCCTCAGCCTCCCAAAGTGCTGGGATTACAGGCATGAGCCACTGCACCCAGCCCAGTTGTTATTTTGAGACTAGATCTCACTTTGTTGCCCAGGCTGGAGTACAGTGGTGTGATCATGTTCATGACTCACTACAGCTTGGGCTCCTGGGTTCAAGCAATCCTCCTGCCTCAGCCTCCCAAGTAGCTGGGACTACAGGCGCACACCACCACACTGAGCTAATGTTTTAAATTTTTTGTAGAGGTAGGGTCTCACCATGCTGCCCAGGTTGATGTTGAACTCCTGGCCTCAAGCAATCCTCCTTTCTTGGCCTCCCAAAGTGCTGGGATTACAGGTGTGACACACCTTGCCTGGGCAACCAAAATGTACTTTCAGTGCATTCGAACTCCTCCATAAGCACAGACTCAGCTCTGGATGGCTGGATGTGAGATCAAGAGGTTAACTGGTGCCTTCCCTTCTGATCCATCTAGAGTTCTAGGCAGATGTTCGGAGGCTCCCTCTGCTCCCTCTTGCCCTGTGTTCCAAATACAAACGAACACCTTGCCTCTCCCTGCTAAGGAGTCAGGACTGGGTGGGGGGCATATAGGCCCTGCTCAGCCTCTGCAGGAAAGGCTGGAAACGGAGGCTGGGAGGGCCCAGCCCCGGGCCGGGGTCCCGGTTCCTGCTGCTCGGCGTGGGCTTGGGGAAGGGCTGCGCGTACGCAGATTGATCCGCCAGCTGTGATTTGTCATTTCTCCCAGGCAGGCGCTGTTTTCTCTTGGTTCAGGAGGCCCCTTCGACACCTGCTTTATTTTTCTTCCTGCGCTGACGTGACGGGAGACAGGTGTTAAACTACTTAATCACTTTAAAATTGTTTTAATTTTCTGTTTTTTATTGATCTCTCCAGCAACAATTAATCAGCTCACTGGACCAGGCAGTTAGTACATTAAAAATTGTCAGGGAGGCCGTGCATCTTGCAAAA